TACGATCTATGATCATTAGAGGGAAGATAAGTGGATGCAGAATATGATATTGTATTGAGGAAACTGACTAACAAGATAAATATAAAATTAGGTATCTTTTTTTTAGAACGGAAGTGATAGAATTAGGTATCTATTCTTTGAAGTTTGAACTAATCAAGTGATTGTCTGGTTACCTAATATTGATTATTCACTTTACTTTAAAGCCTCGCATCCAAACAACGTTCTCTTCTGGTTGAGATAATCAATTTCGATGGTTAGAGTGAAGAAAAGAGTACCTGATTGACGTCGAGCGGAGAATAGATGGAGATTCGTTGTTCTGAGTCTAAATTTCTAGTGTATAGTGGTGGATAGTGTCACAGTAGTGTAGCGTAGCAGCGTTGGTGTTGTGATATCGGAGATGGAAGCAGTGAGCGGCGATGGCAGTATCGAGGTGGTGTTAGGTATGGGAGCGTATGAGAGAGAAAAGAGAGTGATGAGATTGGGGTAAAAAACAATTAGCCTGCTCTCTAAGAAGTACGAAGTAAAAGGGGAAATGTATAAGAAATGGGGAAATGTTAAATTTCATATATACTTTTTAGCTATAAACACCGATTCATTATTGAAAATGGGATAAGAATATGTTCAATCTTTTTAGTGGCACAAAAACAAATTAGTAAAATCGCACAATAAAAGTTTAGTGGCATATAAAAAATATATGACACAAAATATAAAGTTTTTAGTGGCATTTTAAATTTTTATGCCATTAATAAATTTTAATATTAGTGACATAAATTTTTAAGTGTCATTAAATATAGTAAATTTATACTGGCATATAAAATATGTCACTAAAAGCATATTATAGTGGCATAAAAAAGATATGTCATTAAAAATATATGTCACTAAATGTCATTTTATTTGTAGTGCATATTGTAGCACTACCCATTTATATTTTACGATATTTACAATATATATCCTAAGAAATGAACTATTTATCCGGACACATATGGGCTCCCCTAAGGCCTCTCACCAGAATCCAATGCATGCGATTCCATAGCCTATAAGTCAAATATACTCCATATGCCATTTATGTATCAAACTCTATAGACCAAAATAAACATGGATTGTACACCTTACATGATAGAAATAACTATTATATTTAAAATTCGTGTAATTCGTGTGTGTTAAGATAATGCTATAAAAATGATAAATCAAACGATCTGAATGACTCATATCAAACATGTTCCAACATACATCATCATGTGAGGATAAATCGCAAAAAACTAGTAATATCTTAAACGTATGAGGGTTTGAATGCATGTATGCTAGAAAAAGAGAACCGGAAATAACCACTTCCTCTAAATCCATCCCAAAGTCTATCACAGAGACTAAAACACAGCAACATTTTAGGAGTTTCTGTTTTTCAATGGTTGGCCTCCTTTATTGTTCAACCACCATTATCTCAGTTCACATCATATAATTGTATTGTTGCTTGGTTAGCATCAGCCTCTCAAAAAAGTAAACTAAATTAAATGATTCATTAATTGAAAACCTATGGTACGTTTTAGACTTTTAGAAATTTAGTACACCTCTCATTATGCTATATATATCAAGATTGATGTCCCACTCCACCTGTCTACATGCCGCTAGCTCCAAAATCGAAATAACCTGAACCGTCAGTAATTTATTGAATAGTACCAAGTGAAATAAAGGAACCAGAAGATAAACAAGTGGTGTCAAACCCTGATCGAGACCAAATAAAGCGTCTCAATGCGAGAACTGGTTCATATCAGAATTACAAGTGAGGTGGATTGATCGCACATCCCTACCAAACAGCCGACATGTTATCCATCTTCTTCTTCTTCAAATCAGAACCTGCTAATTTCGATTCCCTGTCACACAGTCAATCCGTTGAATTTCAACCTCCGGCTTCTTATTTCGATATATAATTCTAAGAGCCCTCCTCTACTGCCTCCCTCGTGAACTCTCTCTCTCTCTTACGCACTTGAGCCCAAGATAACTTTTGTTTGAAGACTTTTCATTTCTATTGAATCGACAAAAAAAAAAAAAAAACAAAACAAAACAAAACAAAACAAAAACAAAAACAAAAAAAAAAAAAAAAAAAATCCATGCTTTAGTTACATTAAAATCCAATATGCATGGCAAGTGACAAAAACGTGTGTTAGATAAAAAGGGCAACTTATCACAAAATAATCTTAAAATATTATGTTTCGAATTTCGAAACAGCCACATTTTTCATCTTATTTACAAAAGAAATTGTTTTCGGTTGGTCCTTTTAAGTTTTACACTACAAAATTATGAAATATTTCTTATTTACAAAAATAAAAAGAAAAAACTATCGTTTTGTGTTTTTCAAGTTTTGCAATTGGCTATGGGGCTAATGTGAAATTGTTTTTGTTCATATTTATTGGTATTGTTCTTATAATTAATTTAAAAGTGCAAAATGGTGTTTATAAAATGATGGAATTAGGGATGTAAAGTGGGCCAAACCGGATCATAACCAAAAGAACTGAAAACTAAAAATGATGAATTGGGGAAACCGAGAACCAGACCGATCGAATACCACTAATTAACCGGTTCCGGTTTGATTGTACTAGGAAGTGTGCTATCTACAAAGGTGTTCGGTACCGGAACCGAAAATCAAAAATGATGAATTGGGGGAGCCGGAAACTAGACCGAATACCACTAATTGGTTCCAACCGGTTCCGGTTCTAGTTCAATAATTCGGTTTCTATTTCGGTTCAGTTTTTCGGTTAAAAAACTCAATCCCTGGATGGAACTATGCTTAAATGTCTATTGTTGTTTCTTACTAACCTCCCAGGATTTAAGGAAGTTTTTGGTAACATCCTGGTACGACTTAACTAAGTCCAATCATATTATCATGTTGTGATTTATCATTTCTTGAATTGGGCTTTGTTGGATTTTGTATTATGATTTTCTATGATCATGCATTATGTGAGTACAAAGATTTCTAATGTAAGCTTTCATTGTAAGTTGTATTTCTACCTTCCATAGTAGAATGTTTTATCATCTAGCTATGCATACATAAAAATAACATCCACATAATCAAATTAAATATCATATAAACCTTTTTAATACGGAGTTCGGATTTAGGGTGTAACGGTTTAAACAATATTTGTTATTTATTGATCAAAAGAAAAATAAATAAATTATAAGACTTTATTTATTAACTTATATTAAATAGTTTAATTAATAAAGCTAATTAATTAGGGTGTAAAAAGCCAACTCGACCTTGATCCTAATTAATCCTGGTCCTAGAGAATGGAGGTGTATAACAAGACCAATTTTTTTTTTTAAAATCTAGAAAAAAAAAACGATATACTTTTTTTTGTTTTTTTTTTAAATTGAACAATTTTATCCCGTATGGTGGTCGGTAATCAAATTTCAAAAAATTGGGTTATCGTATTTTTTTCAACTGATTTTAACCGGTTAAAAAACCTGATTTTTATCCAATTAAAAATGATTTTTATCCAAATATACTAGTATTTTTAAAATCAAATATAATAAAGTGTCTTTTTGGTTGGAGTAAATTTGAATTTTAAAAAAAATAATATAGGTTTATAGAATCTGGTTTTTAACCGGTTAAACCAAGTCCAAAACCAGTTGTCCAAATCCTATGAAAAAAATCATATCAAACCCATTTAGATTTCAGCCAAAAACCAAATATTTGGTCCGACTGAATCGTTTTCTTTAAACGGGTTTCGCTTAAAACCTACTTTTGTGTACCTCAATCCGAATAGAATTAGGCTCGAGCTCAACTCATTTAAATTGTTTAGGTTCGAGCTCGAGCTCGGTTTGTTTTGAGGTTTATAAATAAAACTTGAAGTCGACTCATAAATAGTCTCAGTCTTAGGTTTGACTTGGGCTAGACTTGTTTATCAAACAAGCCTAAACAGGCTAAAGTTTGACTTGACTTGAGACCAACTTTCTTGAGTAGATCTAATACGACAAAACTTCAAAAATGGTTCCTGTGGTTTTCGAAAATCTGAAGTTTAGTCCTTAATCTTTAAAAACCTCACATATGGTCCCTGTGGTTTCAAAACTTTTAATGTTTAGTCCTTCCGCCTAACTCCGTCAGCTTTCTACCGTTAAATGAGGGGTATTTTCGTCATTTCAACATCCAGGGACCATTTATGAGGTTTTCTCTATTTAATAATAATAATAATAATAATAATAATAATAATAATAAAATATAAATATTTAATGTAAAATGGTCTCTCTCTCTCTCTATCTCTCTCTCTCTCTCTCTCGTTTAATCAAACAACTACCGTTTGGATCTTGACCAGCTGTATATTGTTCCCCAGATGTACCATAAGCTTGGACCTCTGTACTTTGTTCTCCACTGTCTTTTTCGACACTAGAAAGAGGCAAGAACATTTGAAACACGAACATAAAGAAGATGAACACAACCACATCACAAATCCATTGCAAGTAATCCAACTTCTTTAAAACCATAAATCTTGCAAATTTCGATCTGGGTCTCTACGCAAATGAATTGTTTCTCTCGTTTCTAGATGAAGATTTGAGTAACGGATCCCTCTTTAATGGCAACACTCCATTTTCAAGAGAACCCATTTACATTACCACCAATCGAATTCCAATAGATCACATACCTAATCCAAATCAACAGACAAAAGGGGGCTACTTTTTTTTCTTTTGGCTAAGATGGGATTTAATCATCACTGAGAACCCAATAACGAAAAAGTTTTACATATTGTAATCAAGATTTCTTGAAAAAGGGTAAAGACAAAAAGGGATGCTTTTTTGCTTTGTTCTTGAGGTGTTTTGGCTGAAAGCCGCGACCTGCTGTGGTGGTCGGAGGTTGCTCCGGCAGCCTTCGGCCTCATTTTTGGTTGGGTTCCGTTCAAAATCAACAGAGAAAACGAATGGGAGTGGTGTTTGGTGGTGATTTTCAGTCGAGAGGAAGGGGTATAAGGTAGTGGTCGGAAAACTCACATCTGTAGCAAATATGATGTCAGCGGATGGCAGAGCTGCGAGTGGCGGTGATGGGTGGCATGTTGTGGCAGCTTCGTTGCCTCTCCATTGCGTTCTATCGGCGTGAACTCGGAGAGAGTGGGGCAAGGAAGATGGCAGGTGGTGATGAAGGTTTCTCAGTGGTGTTGGAGGTTTGGGTTGTCCTCGGGAGGGAAGAAGTTAGAGGGAGTGAGAGTGGTGGTGGTGTTGTTTATGCTCGAGTTGGTACCACCGAGATGAAGAAGAGAAGGTTTGGCCTTTGGCTGGTCAACAAGTAAAAGGGTGAAGGCACAGGAGGGTGTTGGGTTTTTTTGTTCCATCAGAGAGAGAGAGAGAGGACCCTTTGACATTAAATATTTATATTTTATTTTTTTAAATAGAGAAAACCTCATAAATGGTCCCTGGGTATTGAAATGACGAAAATACCCATCACTTAACGGTAGAAAGCTGACGGAGTTAGGCGGAAGGACTAAACATTAAAAGTTTTGAAACCACAGGGACCATCTGTGAGGTTTTTAAAGATTAGGAACTAAATTTCAGATTTTCAGAAACCACAGGGACCATTTTTGAAGTTTTGTCGATCTAATACTAATAAAATTTAAACTAGATATTCAATGAGCTAAAATGTTAACTTTGGCCATAAGATAATATACTTTCAAATACAGTAAAAATCATCGACCTAGATTATAAGTCAACTTATTCTTCCCACCAAGTAATCATTTAACCTATAAGAACCAGTTACCGGTGGGTAATATTTGAACAAAACATATAGTTTGTTGGTGTTTTTTGTACAAAAAGTTTACTTGGATGGTGTTTTTTGAATGATTTTGAAACATAGTTACCTCTTTGAGTCATTTTCCTATTGTTTTTTTTCCATTACTTATTTTTAACCGGTAATTGTCGGTTACCAAAGATCAAATTTGAACAAAGAATGTACTTCGTTGGTGTTTTTTGTACAAATGCTTTACTTGGATGATGTTTTTTGGATACACCAAACTTGAATTGTATTTTTGAACGATTTTGAAACATAGTTACCCATATAAACCATTTCCCTAAAGTCTTTGTTCAATTTATTTGTTAAATATGAAAGTTTGAAAATATATAAGGTATTTAAAGAGAGATGTCTAAGAAATTAAGTCGTGTATGGAAATATGTATTAATGATATGGAAAACATACATAACACTTATTTGTATCAAAATTCCTTACAAAATTCATCTATATATAATTTCAAACTATCATATTTAATATATAAATTGAACAAAGACTTTATTATCACTCAAGCTGATACGTGCACATAAACCTATGTTTCCTTTGATGTAGTTCTATCATTCGTATTATTAGTTTTTATTGCTCTTAAGCAATATAGGTTCTCACAGGACCCTAATGTCTACGGTCTACCATTATCTTTTCTTTTCGTTCATGATAAGATATTAAATAAATGCTAGAGTAAATTATCTAAATGTATCAAAATTACATATTTAGTCCCTAGTTTTCACTTTATATTTAAAACGATTTTGTGGTATGATTTTATAGACATGAAAAATACTATATTACCTTTATCTATGTATCTATTTATTTAGTACTTATTATTTATTATTAATATATTAAAAGAATTTATTTAACAAAATATGTAGTCACATCACCCCACGCCACCACCGTAACCATTTCCATAGACTAACACCACCACCACCACTGTCATCGACCACCACCACCTCAGGAAAAAAAAAACTTATTGAAACCTACAAAAAGACCATCGATGCTCAAATCAAAAGCTGAAAATGAAATCTTAAACCTGAAATTGAAATCTGACACCTAAAACTAAAATAGAAAATGCCATGAAATTGAAATCTAATCCTAACCCCAAATCAAAACCATATTCTGAAACTTAAAACCTAACACTATACCGCAAATCTATTCTGAAATCAAACCACACAGTGTCGTATGCAAGCCAAAGAAATTAAACTTGAAACTCAAAGCGTTAAAATGAAACCATCAGAATATAAAAAGGAGGGAGAAGGTCACGTCTGCTTTCGAAGCTTTTATAGACATCGTTTTCTTCCGAATAGAATGTTAAATTCGACGGGTTTTATAATGGAAAGAGGGAGAAGTTTTTTGGAAGTGACTTAAATCCTTCCCTAAAGGAACCTCGTATGGGAGAGACGGGTTTAGAGTTCAACACATTTTGGATGCTCTTTGTGGAGAAGGTTCATTTATAGTAAAAGACTTTCCACATGCTATTACATATGTGGTTAATCTATGGATACGGGAAGATGTCTCTCGAGTTTGGTAGAATTTGTTACCCCTACTCTTCTTACGTCGCTCTTAAAACATGATAATGGAATATAACATATTGCAGTAGGCACTATATGGAGATGTCTGTTTTCCAAGTTGGCGATGGAAGGTGTTGGTAAAGAAATGGCCAAGTATCTTAATGATTTCCAGTTCGGGGTCGTAGTGTCGGGTGGTGTTGAGACGTATTACATAGCGTTAACAGGGTGTTAAGTGAGTGTCACGACGACGGGTCTCTTTACATGCTTATCGTGGACTTCTACAATGCATTTAACCTTGTAGACATATTCACATTACTTTATGAGGTCAGATTGAGGTGCCCTTATATATCCTTGTGGGTAGAATTCTTATATGGTCAAGCAACAAGGTTGTATCTATGAGACACACATATTTGGTCCACCACTAGGGTTCAACAAGGAGACCCCTTAGGACCACTTCTCTTTGCTCTTGTATTGCATCCCCTATTGCATAATATTATAGAAAACTACAAGCTTCTTCTCCATGCATGGTACCTTGATGATGAGACACTTGTTGGAGATTTGGAGGAAGTGGCCAAAGAATTAGACATCATTAAAGTGGTTGGTCCAAAATTAAGCCTTCAGTAGAATATCATGAAAAACCGAGCTCTTTTGGCCCTCGTGTGATGGTAGGAAGCTTCGTGAGGGGCTTTTCCCAGTTGACATCGAAAGGCCGCTATTGGTGGTGAAACTTCTTTCTTTGGGGAGCTGTTAGTAGAGACGCTAGTTTCATTAGCAGCATAGCCATAAAGAAAGCCGAAAACGCTGTGAATTTGATGTGCCTTCTTCCACACCTGCATGACCCCTATATTGAGCTCCTTTTTGCTTCGGTCTTGTATGGTTATTACTAAAATTTGTTTGGGATGAGGACATGCCAACTCATTCACATAAAGGAATTTGTGTTGTTCCTTGACAAAGGACTATGCAGGGCGAAAAAGGACATCATGGTTTGTGGTAGCCCTTTCTTTGGTGACATACGGTGGTGAATTGTTTCCCTACCCATTAAGTTTGGTAGTTTGGGATTGTACTTGGCAGTAGAGGCTACCTCATATGATTTTGTTGCCTCAAGGGCCTAATCTTGGATGTTACAATACCACATCTTATGGGATAGCGACATATGTGGTATGGATTCTGTAACGCCCGCAGATTCGGGCTAGTCAATTTAGAGACGATAAGCGTCAAAAATGAATTTTTGATAGAGGATTATTTATAATAAATAATCTTAACTAAATTGTATTATATGTCACAAGGTTTCCGTACATATAAAGAACGCTGAATACCGAGTTATAACGAAGAAGTTATGACTTGTCGAAGTTTCGCGACAAAACCGACACGACACCGGGAATCGTAAAAAGTGAGTTTATGATAAAGTACTTTTTAGCCTTAGTGATCTAAAAGAAAGTTGTAGAGTACGTCTCCACCTACGCATGGATATAAAGAACGTCAAAAACAGAGCTCGTATGCAAAAGTTATGACCTTCCGAAGATACAGTTGTCTGAGAGCATGACATGTGTCAGAAACCCTAATCTGACTGGACTCACGATGTGAGCATGATTTCTTACGACGTGAGGTGTCAAAACACCACTTTTCAAGGCTAGAATGCAGATGGAAAGTCTATGTTTAAGGCTTACAACGTGAGTATTATTTCTCATGACGTGAGGAGTCAAACGGACACTAATCGAGGCTAGAAAACACCTGGGAAGGCTACGGGATGACTCATGAAAGCTCACGACGTGAGCATATGTAGCTCACGACGTGAGAGAGCCAAATTCAGCCTATAAATAGCAAATTCGACCATTTCATTCTTTACACCAAAACCTCTTTCCTCTCTCTCTCTCTCGTTTGTTGAAGTCGTTTTCCCTTCCCGAGCCTGACAACAACGAACCGCTGACCGTTTCTAGTTAGATTCAATCAAAGCACGCTACAAGTAAGTGCATAGTTACTTTCATCTTACACATAGATATGAAATATTTAATATAAATTACGTGCAATGTGTGTATATTACTTGTGTTCTTGATATCTATGCTGGATGAACAATTTTATACATGTTTTAAATGATTTAAACTGTATATGTATTTTATATCTACAAATATGTTGGGTAAAACATGGGTAGATGAATTAGATGATGTGTAATGAAATAAAAATTTAGGAGAGGTCTCGATGTTCAAGATGATCTAGTCATCTAGCAAAATATAGATGTAACACCCCAAATTTCAATTGTTCAATGAAGGGCCAAAAGTGTAAATTTAGGAAACGGACTCGACGAGTAGGCCCGCTTACTCGCCAAGTCGGAGCGGGATTCTATCGCGGTTTAAGTGGCCAACTCGTCGAGTCGGCGGCTTGGACTCGACGAGTTGGTGC